AAGCAAGTCCTCTTGCACTCGACTCCGCTCCCTTAGGGACAGTGAACACCTCCTGGGTCACCTTACAGACTGTTACATGTTAACCATGTGATATCTGGGAGATGGGATTATATCGTGATTTTAATGATCTCTGTGTTTTCTGTCTTTGCCAAATTTCCTGTAGTGAGTATGTATTTCTTGTATAATGGGTGGGGGGACCCAACCAACCCACTGTTTTGAAAATATACCTTTCACCCCCAGAGTCAGCTTCAGCTTACGTATATCAGGTGCACTGAGAGGTGGGCGATGGGTCCCCTCTTCTTCCACTCGGTGTAAGTCAGAAGGAGGCGGGGCCTGAGGACAGGCTGGGAAGCTAAAGCTTAGATGTCATTTTTGAACCATCTTGAACTAAAGGGAAGGGGGAGTTGTGGTTTGGGATTTTTTTTTTTAATCTTTAGAGGGGAAGGGAAGGAGAGAGGGAGAGAAATATCAATGTATGGTTGCCTCTTGTGTGTCCCCTGCTGGGAACTGGCCTGTAACCCAGGCATGTGCCCTGACTGGGAATCGAACCGCGACACTCTGGTTCGCAGGCTCGCGCTCAATCCACTGAGCCACACCAGCCAGGTGTGGTTTGGGATTATAAAGGGCAGGAAGGCAATTTACATGGAAATGGAAAAACAAATACTTGGTAAATTAATGTTTGTTGGGCCATCTTGGACAATGGGACACAGACAGGACTTTTATCAAAAGGGCACAGCTAGGTTCCTCCCTGTGTAACACAAACTAAAAATTAAATTATCTATAATGATAGCTCCCTTCCTGGAATGGCAGGAAGGGTAAGGTCAGATTCTGAGTTTTTTGTTACTTAAAAATAATCATCTTAAAATAATCATTATCCCAAATAGGTATATTTGGAAGTGGCAAACTGTGCTTCTCCTTGTCACCAAATGCAGTCTAGTTTGGAGGGGTGATGACTCAATTGTCATTTCACATTGACTTAAGTGGAGGGCCTTGGGAACCCTTTTCTCGTCCTCTTCTAGTCGTGAGAGACACTTTCTTCCCATGTGGGAAAATGTAGTTTGTGAAGCCAGAAAAATTGATTCACATAGAAATACAGTCACTATAAAAGTTCCAGAGGCTAGACAAACAACAGGACTAGTAATTTTACTCTTCCAGTGATTATAGTTGTTGTGTTTAGGAAGAAACTCCTCCCTTCCTGCCCTCAATAACTCCTCCCCTCCGCTGGTCCATTACTGTTCTCATTATTTTCGCAAGGCTAAAGACTCTTAAAATGGAACTTCCTTCCTTTTAGGAATCAAGTGTAAACATTTACTCTGAAGTCTGTAACATGCCCTTTTGTCTTGAATGACTATTAGTCTTTTAAAAAATTATTTGTGGATTTGAAAGAGATATTTGCTGTTCCACTTATTTATGCATTCATTGGTTGATCCTTGTATGTGCCCTCCCTGGGGATCTTAACTTCAGCACCTTGGCATATTAGGATGATGCTCCAACCAACTGAGCTACCCAGCCAGGGTTAACTCTTAGTCTTGAGCAATAATCTCAGTCTTTGGGATTACAGGTGAGTGCTGGGAATTTATCCACGCTTTTGAATACAGGAGTTAATATTACTGCCTACATAATCAGGAGCTGATTAAGGGGAATGTATCTCAAGGCTCTTTCTCCTGTCTTTCACTTCCAACAACAAAGGAGAATCATAGGATTACAGAATTGCAAGAAATCTTTACAGATTCTGTAACACACCTCTTCATTATGCAGATGAAAAAGCTGAGGGTCACAGTCCCTTACTGCAGTGACTGGCACCCAGTAGCTACACTATTCAGGAAATATTCCTTTATTATTTCTGACCTAAGTTGTTCAGAACGGCCAGTCTATATTGGAATATGAGGTTTCCAATTTAAAAACTGTTTCCTTTCCACTCTATCACACTGAGTTATGTACTTCCATTTGGTTTACTATAAAGTCATTATAGCCATAAATTTAACAGCTTTAGAGATATAATTTACATACCATATAGTTCACCTTTCTTTAAGTGCACGACTCAATGCTTTTAGTTTATTTAGAGCCATGTATCCATTACCACAATCCATTTTAGAACATTTTCATTACCCCCAAAACAAAGCCCATACACATTAGCAGTCCTATTTCCCCTCATTCCCCCATTCGCCCCAGGCAACCACTACTTTCATATGTGGTTCTTTGTAACTGGCTCTGTCACTTAGCATAATATTTTCAAGGTTCATATGTGTTGTAGCATGTACTTCATTTTAAAAATAATTTTCCTTTTTAAAAAAATTTAAAAAGAATATTTATTGATTCCAGAGAGGGGAAGGGGGAAAGAGAGGGAGAGGGAGGGAAACGTGGATTGGTTGCTTCCTGCATGAGCTCCAGCTAGGGGCCAAACCTTAGGCATATGCCCTGACTGGGAATTAAAACCCGTGACATTTTGGTGCATGGGATGGCCCTCCAACCAACTGAGCCACACCGGCTGGGCTACTTCATTTTTTTTGTTGTTGAATAATAAATATTACATTGTATGTATACATCATATTTTATCTATTCAACAGCTGATGATATTTGGCTGAATTTTATTTTAAACATATATGATCTCTGAGAGCCAGCAGGAGCTTCAAATCTAGACATAAATATTGATCTCCTATCATTTTATGTTGACTTTATACTAAAAAAAAGCATACTTAGTATGATTCTATGTCATATCTGAAAAATCAGCATTTTCTTTTCTCTAAGTTTTCTGATGTGTATGATAATATTGTGGAAAGACAAAGTAAAATCTTCCCCTAAGTTTTTCTGCTCATTGACTCCCAGGAAAAGAAAGTCTATGTAGTTTGTGTAAGTGATAGCCCTCTGGAAGAGAAAGAAGACAAAACAAAGATCCAGGGCTGTGGGGTATAAGGGGACTAAATGGTAATGGAAAAAATAATAAAGATTATAAATTTTATTTTTTAATAGTGTCTCTTTTTTTAGATTGTATTTATGTATTTATTTTTAGAGAGCAGGGAAGGGAGAGAGGGAGAGAAATATCAATGTGTCATTGCCTCTCACATGCACCCCACTGGGGACCTGTCTGCAACCCAAGCATGTGCCTGGACTGGGAATTGACCAAGTGACCCTTTGCTTCACAGGCCTGTGCTCAAACCACTGAGATACACCAGCCAGGGTTAAAGATTATATATTTTTTAAAAAGAAAAAAAAAAAGGATCCAAAGGAAGACTCTTTGTTCCTGGTTTCAAATGTGAGGTTTAGAAGCAAAAGGGCATAATTTGGGGCTCACAAGCAACAGAGTAATTGACCTTACTAAGATCCAGCCATATACACAAACAATGTTAAGAATGGTGTGGGGGAAGGGTGAGGAAGGGGGACAGCACAGGCCACAAATTCAGCCCCACCTGACCTCATATGGCTTAGTATTTTAATTTTTATCTTTCTGTGTTTATAGGTTGGCCCTTGCTCAACCTCCACACGTTTTCGTGGGTTTCCAGGTGGGTCCAGATTGGGAGACTTAGTTCATGCTTGGTAGGAAGACCTTGAACTTGTAAACGCCAAGTTGAGGATATTTGTGATCCTGGGAGGTGGCTGCTTTCCCAACTAAACGCTTGTTTATCCAAGTCTTGCCCCGAGCCAGCCTCAGAACTCCTGAGTCACCTGCTGCGGAGAGAAGGGGCTTTTGTGAGTGACTTCCGTTCCATTAGCAGAAGCTAGATGAGAATGCCAATGCCAGGAAGAGACCCTTGACTCAGCCCGCCTAAGGCTTGGGTGCTGTGTCATTCCCCACACGTGATGCTCTCGAAGGCGGCGAAGACCTCGCTTCCCTTATCACGGGGCTTTTCATCCCAGTTACCCCACCCCCTTTCTTGTCTATTGCTCAACCCCACCCTTCTCCGCTCCGCCCCCTCTCCGAGACCTTAGGAACGGAGAGGCGGGAGCCAGGAAATGCCACTCTTCCAAGTTGGCCGGGAAAAGCCCAGAAACTCAGTGTTTGGGAAAATGCCAAGACGTGGCGTTACAATATTATCCTCCAGAATGCTTTGCACTTCCTCTGTTTTAGTCTATCCTTACTTTCATTAATTCCATATAGCATTTATTGATCTATCGTATTCAAGACCGTTTTATCACTCAGGTCTTGTCTAAGTTACTGCTGCTTTCTCTGTCCCTCTGTTTTCCACTTTTCTCTGAGCCTGGAATTCTCAATCAGAATTGATTTGAGCCTCCAATCAGCCTCCTTCCCGTTCTAGCTGCATGACCTTGAGGGAAACACAACTTTTCTGGGCCTACTTTGTCCGTAAAACGGCGGCCAAACGTCTTACAACGCCTGTTTTGAGGAACAAATGTGAAACTCCTTTGTGAGCTGTAAAAACCAAGAGCAATGTTAGCTCTATTAATTCTGGACGGCTGGTTACGCTTCCAGAACCCCTCCCTTTCCTTTGGGACCCGCCCAGCAAATCCCGCCTAGCACTGACATGCCTCCCCATCTTCCTCTCGCGGTCTGCCCCATTGGCTAACGCGCTGTCCGCGCGGCGCCGGGTGTTGACGCCTGGTTCCGCCTCCGCCGGCGCACGAGGACGCATAGGCCCCGCCCCTAGCCGCGCTGGGCCTCCCGCGGGGCCCCACCTTTCGGGCCGACGCGGAGTGGGCTCCGCCCCACGTGTGACGTAAGGCACACGTGGCTCCGCCGCCCAGGCAGTTGGTGCAGCAGCAGTTGGAATCAGTGCGCTTCTCCAACTCCTCCCCAGCTCCTGCCAGGGCTCCCAGTCCGCTGGACCCGGACCCAGCCCCAACCCCAGCCCCAACCCCAGCCCCAGCCCCAGCCACGCCGACCCCGTACGGGGCTGCCCCGACCTCACAATCTGTGACACCTGGCCCCGCCTCCGCGGAGGCACGGATACGAGTAGGCTCCGCCCCTGGCCGCGCTTGGCCTCCTGCCCGCCCCGCCCCTCGGGCCGACGCGTTGCGGGTACCGCCCCGCGGGTGACGTGTGGCGCGCGCGGCCCCGCCGCCAAGCAGTTGGTGCAGCGGCGGTTGGGCTGAGTGCGCTCACCCCACCCCTCCCCTCCTCTGGCCCGAGCCCCCACCCCGTCGGGCCCAGCCCCAACCCCAGCCCCAACAGGGCCGGTGTGCGGGCCCGTGCTGCCCCCTCAGTCGGAGACTCCCCGGGCGGCCCGCCCGTCACCATGGAGCTGGAGGACGGTGTGGTGTACCAGGAGGAGCCCGGCGGCTCCGGGGCCGTGATGTCGGAGCGGGTGTCTGGCCTGGCCGGATCCATCTACCGCGAGTTCGAACGACTGATCGGGCGCTACGACGAGGAGGTGGTCAAGGAGCTGATGCCACTGGTGGTGGCCGTGCTGGAGAACCTGGACTCGGTGTTCGCACAGGACCAGGAGCACCAGGTGGAGCTGGAGCTTCTGCGGGACGACAACGAGCAGCTCATCACCCAGTACGAGCGGGAGAAGGCGCTGCGCAAGCACGCCGAGGAGGTGAGGGCCGGCCGGCCGGTGGGGAGGGCGGGGCCGGGTCCCAGGGCTGCCGGGGGTCGCGGCCCTGCCGGGAGGGTAGGCGTGCCAGCGTCCCGTTTCGTGGGGGCGGGTCTGAGGCGGAGGTTCCAGAACCGAGCCCGGCGGCGTGAGGTCCACTGGGCCCCGGGCCCCGGTGTTGGAAGCCGAGGGAAGCTAGTGAGTGTCCAGGAAAAGGGAGTGAGATTAGGAAGGCGAGGCCGGGGGAGGAAGCCGCAGTCTGGCATGAGGGGACATGGGTTTGGCTGAGGTTGGAGATTTTAGGATGTATGATTGCTTTTTGTAGTTTGGGGAAGTTTCCGACCACCGTAGGACAGTCAGATGGCCGTTCAGACTTCTACCATGGGGGGTTGTGCTTTTAAACTTTCCTGTCCTGGATATGTAACTTTCTCTGGTTTCATTACCTTTCTGGGGTTACTGCTTTGGGAAGTTAGAGACCTCCCTCTTTCGGTCAGTTTCTTCTTGAGGTTTTAACCCTGTTGAGAAATAGGTTTCATTTTATATTCTACTTGCTTTGGTTGACACTTTGTTAACACTTGGGTGTTGTATAGCAATACTCTGTAAGTATAGAGAATGTACAATTTTATTTTACTGGTGTCCCACATAGAAGCATTCCTTCGTATCAGGTGGTAACCTTGGACAGTTCCCTTTAAAAACCCTCTGTTTGTTTATGAAGAGGACTTGCGGGGGCGGGGTTGAGGAGATGGTAGGTGACTATTGGCAACCCTTTTCAGAGTGCAATTTCCAGGTGTACTTGGCCCGCTGGTAAGGCTAACATTCCAGCAGTGACCTCAGTACCTTCACCAAGGTCCGTGGCCCTTTTGGAGTGCAAGTGATAAGTCTGACTTTTTGAGACAGTCCAGGATTTTTAGCTTTCAGGCTGTCTTGGCCTGAAACTGTCTAATGCAGGGGAAGTGTCCTATTCATCTTTGTTCTCTGAGCATCTAGCAACGCCTAGCTAAATACATAGTCATTGAAGGAATGGCATGTTACCTTCCAGAGATACTTGAAAAGTTTTTAGGATCTGAGATTTCTTTGGTAGCTCATTTCCCGACTAAGAAGTACTGCTGTTTAAACTTTTGTCGCTGCCACCCCTCTTTGCACCAGGTCAGATAGTTCTTTTTTTCTTTTTTAAGCTTGACTTTTAGTTCTGATTTTTGTGATCCACTTGCCTCAAAGGAATGCCATCGAATTTGCCAAACAAAATTGACTTTATTTTAGGGGAAGCCTATAGGGGAAGGAGGAGTTGCAAAAAAATCTGAGGGTGGGATAATAATTTCCATTAGTTTATTAGCACTGTTTATAGACCAGAGATCAGTACACTTCTGAGGTGGCGTGCCTTGTGCTCAGACAGGCCATTGCGTAAGTGTGGAGGTACTGGGGAGAGAGACTGGGGAATTCCCATACACATACATACAGGTGAGGAGCAGTCCCAGCTTGGCCTATAACCTTGGGCGAAAGAAACACTCTCTCCACCCTTCAATTCCTGTCAGTCTATGTAAATACGGGCAAAATGCCAGGGTCACACAGGCCAAGAAAACCATCTGCCACAGGTTGCAGAATTGGATTGCTAGACTTTGGATTGTATTAATTTTTTAAGTAAACAACTTTAAAAAAAGAGGTTATCCAGTGACTCTTGTAATTTATAATTTTTCAAACACATCTATAAATTCCCTATGAAAGCTTTGGGCAAAGGGCCATGACCTGAGTGAGACTAGAGAACATTGATGAAATGCTAGATGAGCCAACTCTCAGACCACAAACATAAAAGCGCCTTATCAGTTTTCACATTAGATCATAAATCAAGTATTAAAGTATTACGGGTACCCAGAAATTTCAGTCTCTTAGGCCAATATGCAGAAGTGAATTTTGTGTTTAATTTTCTGTGAGTGTTTTGAGTGTGGCATTAATATGGAAACTTTAAGAGTCTGTTGTTACAGCAAAAGTATTTGAAAGTCTGAGAATTGCCTGTCACCAAAAAGTGTTAAGTAAATTCTGAGCACCTTTGTGGAAAGTTAAGAGGGTATGTAAGTGTGAGAGTGTTTTAGGAGGTATGCAGTGCTATAATAATCTCTTGCTTGCAGGAATTCTCAGCAAGTAATTAGAAATAGACTTTTTATCATAGTGATATTACTTGAATTGAATACCTTCTGTCTTTTTCTTTTATTGGCATTTTGTGTGTGTGTGTGTGTCTGTGTGTGTCTGTGTGGAGTTAAGTGCTGTTTTTGTTTTTGTCTTTAATTTAATCTTTATTGTATTTTTTTTCCATTACCATTTAGTCCCCTTGTACTGCCCCCCACCCCCATCCCGTGCTGCTGTTTTGTGAGTCATCCTGGAGAAGTGCTGATTTTTTGTGTGACCAGTTTCAAGTGCGAATCAAGAAACCTATCTTGCCCTGACTAGTGTGGGTTAGTAGGATGAATTGTGTCCAGCAGACCTAAGGGTCACTGTTTGGATTCCTGGTCAGGGCATATGCCTGGGTTGCCGGCCAGGTCCGTGGCTGGGGATGTGTAGTTGGTGTATGAGAGTCAACCAGCTGCTGGCACATCCATGTTTCTCTCCCTCTCTTTCTCCCTCCCTTCTCCTGTCTCTAAAAGTAAAAACATTACAAATAAATAAATGCTCGGTTATGTTTTTAAAAAAAGAAATCTATCTTATCGATCATCATATGCCCCTTTGGGCTCCCCTGCTCTGGCCATGTGTGTTTTAGGTTTTTTTTAAGATTTTATTTATTTACTTTTAGAGAGAGGGGAGGGGAAGGAGGACCAGTGGGACAGAGACATCAACGTGTGATACACTGATCGGTTGCCTCTCGTACACCCCCAGCTGAGGTCCGGGCTGGCAACCCAGACATGTGCCCTGGTTGGGAATTGAACCAGCAACTTTTTTGTTCGCTGTTGGCACTCAATCCACTGAGTGCACCAGCCAGGGCTACATATACATATTTTTAAATTGCTAAACTATTTCAAAGTAACTTGCAGATGTTATGACACTTTACCCTTCACTGCTTAGTGTACTGATCTTATAAAAAATGAGAGCATTCTACCACATAATTGCAATAATTGCACTACTTTTCTATAAGAAATTTAAATCTGCCCTGGCTGGTGTGACTCAGTGGATTGACTGCCAGCCTGCAAACCAAGGGGTTACCGGTTCGACTCCCAGTCAGGGCACAGGCCTGAGTTGTGGGCCAGGTCCCCAGCGGGGTTGCCTCTATGTGAGCGGTACCCACACACTGATGTTTCTCTTCCTCTCTCCCTTCCTTCCCCTCTCTTGAAACATAAATAAATAATCTTCTTAAAAAAGAAAAGCAGTTTAAACCTGAGATCTATAAAACAAAATTGGTTAAAATTTTTAATTTAAAATTATTGTATAAAAATATCATGGATCATATTCCCTTTGAAACTGATATACAGGAATTCAGAAACTGACCTTATGTTTAATGTTTTCTTTGGTAAGTTTTTTTAATCTTAATATATTTTCCAGGATTTTTGACTGCTTACCTGCTCCACTAGGGTAACAGAGCCTAAGAATAATTTTTTAGTCATAATTTGAAGTCCTATTGATTGGATTCCCTACTAGGGAGAGGTCTAGAACTTTTGTGATTCCGGATTCTGTTACTGCCCTTTAAAATATATCTTCACTCTCTGTTCCTGCAGTTATTTTTCAAGGGCTGGGAAGAAACTTCATGATCTTCTAGCTCTATCCTATCCCATTATTATAGGTAGAGAGAAAGATAAACAGACACATTGATGATCAGAAGGAACAAATATTTTTTGAGCCAGGCACTGTTCTAGGCTTTGGTAATGTAACCAAAGGAAGGTAGCCCATGCTTTCTTGGAATTTGTACTGTAATAAAGAATAAATGAACCAGTTAATTACAGATGATGATAGATGCCATGCATACAAAAAAGATGATAATGATAGAGGCAGGTGCTTGGACGCCACAGACATGTTTATAAAAGGGTGAGCTGCTCAGGAAGGAAACAATTCATCTCATAAGAGGAATTATTTAGATTTGAAACATGAGGAATATGTAGCTAGAGTTTGTCCTACTTGTTATTTTTGAAAATTCTGAAGAGTAAGTAGCTCTCTAATGAATGCATTTCTTCTTCTGTCTGTCTTATTCCTTCTCACCCTTGACTGCTCAGCAATATTTAACTCTTTTTGGTCACTGCTTCTTTAAAAAACATTCAATTTTGGATCTGTGACTTGGACATTTCTTAGTTTTCCTCTTCATCATTCTAGTTTTGGTGTTCCTTGCATTCTTTCCTTAGTGGACTAAGGTCCACTTTAGTTCTCACTTTGCACACTGAGAGCTGATGATATTCATTCCAGTGAGTTCAGTTACCATTTTTGGACTGTTCCAAAATGTATTATCTTATTCATTCACTCAACAGATATTTATTGTCAGCTGTGCTCCTGGTAACTATGTCCATTGGGGTTATGGTGGTGGGTAAAGCACACAAGATTCTTTCCTCATGGAGCTGACAGCTTAAGACTTCGAGGTCAGATCTCTTTTTGGAGTTTTGCATCCATATTATTGTTGTTTATTGGACATGAATGTCTCCTGAGTGATGCTAAACTCTTCTCTCTCCTTCATTCTTATTGATTGCTACTTTCTTTTGTTTCCAACTTTTAAGTATTGCTGGAATCCCTTTCTTTTCAAATCCATTTCTAGTACTCTGTTTCACGATATGCACATCTCTTGCATCCTGAGTCCAAATCCTGTAGAGTTGGAATTTCCTGTCTTTCTGACTATACGCTAGTGTCTGGCACGTAGGAAGTAACCAATGACTATTTCTCAATAAATGAATGAACAACTAAAACTGTCTCATAACTGATCTGTCTGCTTCCTGTATTCCCATCCTGTAAACTGCCCATCACATTGTAAATTTGATCACATCATTTCCACACTGAAAAGCCTACAGTGGCTGTCTAGGGTTTGTTTTTTTAAAAAAATA